AGTCCTTAAATTGAAATCGACGCACGCTCAAAGGCAAACGTCAACAGATTAAGGTTCGCTCAGGCCTTTTGTTTAGAGTTTAGGGAGAGGGCGCTCCGAGTGAAGCATCACAACCTCAATTCAGTGGGGACCACCTCGAGTCTACTCTGGCTGGGCGCCGCGACACTGACGTCACTGTCTTGGTTCGCGCGATGGCGGCTGATCCAGGGGTGCATACTGGCGCGTCTGCAGGGAACCGAGAGACGCGGGTAACGTCGCACCCAGCACCGAGAGCGAGAGAGAAAGAAAGAGGGGGGAGGGAGGAAGGGAGGGAGAGAATGAGACAGGGAGAGAGAGGAAGAATATGTATTTATCTATATGCGTGCGTGCGTGCGTGCGTGCGTGCGTGCGTGCGTGCGTGCGTGCGTGCGTGCGTGCGTGCGTGCGTGCGTGCGTGCGTGCGTGCGTGCGTGCGTGCGTGCGTGCGTGCGTGCGTGCGTGCTTGCGTGCGTGCGTGCGTGCGTGCGTGCGTGCGTGCGTGCGTGTCGTTGTGTGTGTTGTGTGTGTGTTGTGTGTGTGTGTGTGTGTGTGTGTGTTGTGTGTGTGTTGTGGGTTTGTGTGTGTTGTTGTGTGTGTGTGGTGTGGTGTGTGTGTGTTGTGTGTGTGGTGTGTTGTGTGTGTGTTTGTGTTGGTGGTGTGTGTTGTGTGTGTGTGTGTGTGTGTGTGTGTGTGTGTGGTGTGTGTGTGGTGTGTGTGTGTGTGTGGTGTTGTGTGTGTTGTGTGTGGTGTGTGTGTTTCAGATCTCTTTTCAGCATTGGCTCAAGGAGTGTCAATGACGACTACAGAAGGGGTCAGTGCGTATCTTGGGCATCTCGAGCCAGCAGGGTCTGCCCATGGCGGTCGTGGGGCCTGCTTCACGGACACGCCTCCTCAACCCCTGCGTGACGGACGGAAACGGTCGCGGGGACGTGACCGCCCACTGTGACTCGCACAAACGACGGTGAGTCCGCACTGCGGGGGCTGACGAAGAGCAGTCCTAGGCTCCAGCGGGCGGAGCCTCCCGGCTGACACGGCTCCCGGCCTGCGCCGACTGCCCGTGCCCCGCCAAACGGTAGCACGGCACTCCTCAGTACTTCGCAGGTGGAGCATTGACGCTTGTGCCACAAGAAATGTCGCGGCCGTGGCAGCTATAATCGCACCCGTCAAACGACTGCTGCCGGCGCGCCGGCAAAAAGCCCAAATCCAAATAAGTCGATGAGTCGGACACATGATGGCTGGGGGGGGGGGGGGGGGGGGGGGGGCAGGGCGAGCATTCAGCGACTGCCGGCGCCGGATGGGCCGGCCCTCGGAGTAGATTGCGGCGTCCAGTGCGTCATATCCTGCGCCGATGTCGCCGCGAGTGTCCGGAGTCACTGCCGACGTCCGACGCCCGACGCGCGCGGCTGTCGAGCGCGCTCATTCCGTCTCCTCGGCAAAAACGCGCCGCCGCCCAGTCGAGGCCGGCGAGCAGGTGAAGTGGTGACGTCGCCCGGACGACGGCGGGAGCGCCGGTCCCGTGACGTCACTCGGGTCGCGCGACGCCCGCCAGCGTCCGAGCGGCGGCTGTCGGACGGACGCGAGCCGTCGCGCTGGCAGGCGGCGGGGTAGTCACGTTGAGGAGGCGGCGTTTACCAGAGTTCGCGGCGAGCTTGAGATGTCACCCTCGCGTCGCGTCACATGACGCTGACGTCATCAGGGCTCGTCACGTACGATGAGTACAATCCAGGCATGGCGGCGGGCCATCAGGTGCAAACCGCCACCCAGGTTCAGCATGACCCCCCTCAGTGTTCATGAAGTGCCGAGAACGGTCACCCAGGTACAAACCTCGTAAAGTCGTACAAATCACCACCCAGGTACAGCCAGAGCTCGCGGCGTCCTACGAACGGTCATCCAGGCACTGTTGGCCCCACGCACACCGATCAGCAGCAGGCTGAGCAAGGTCAGCTGCCCCCCCCCCCCCCCACATGCTGCCGCGTGCCGAGGCAGACTGCGTGCAGAGGACGCTGCAGCACGACACTGCAGCAACGCAAATTCTGTACCTGATCGATTCCGGGTACGTACAACTTGCACATACATCACTGGGCTCGGACATTTCCTTTCACTTAAAAATGGGAAAAATGTTAAGCATGACTTGGAATATTTATGCTTTTGTCAACGGCGGTAATGGCATTCAGTGGACGCAGAAGTCGACGTCCCAACCGTGGCAAAACAGAACCATCGCGCACCGCATCGAATGCGGCATGAATGGAGGCGCCGCGCGCCGCAATCCGCCTGCTGCCAGACTGGCTGGTTTTGTCGGGCACTTTGAAGTAGTGCGGCCTCGCCAATCGCCGATTCGATACCCCAATCACGCCGCTCAAAGACCAGGTAAATATGCTCTGATGTTGAAACACACATCAAAGGAAAAGGAGAAGCGTTTAAAATACAGGCGCTAATAACGAATCAACGAGGAACATCCGGATAGGTAGTCGTCAGAAGGTTAAACATCACCTCACCAAATTAAATTTACTTCGATCGCTGACCAGGGCATAGTGAATTTGACTACTGTCTGTGATGTCGCAAATTTCTAATTTTTTATACAGACTTCAGATGGAAGCGGATCCTCAGCTTTGTAGTTACTGTTTTCGTCCCGGCTGTCTCTTTCCCACTGCATGCGGAAAGTTGGGTTCAACGCAGGCTATGTGCCGGGGCAGCAGAACTGCGAATGCTCCGGTGAAATAAAAAATGTTCCGATAGCAGCAAACACAGCAGCGCACTGTGAAACGACAGAAAATCCTGCGAGGGTCGCCAGAACCCGGCCCAGTCACACACAAGGGAATGCAGATAGACTGAGTGCAACTGACTCAGGCGTGGAAGCATCCTTGCACTGAAAATGGACCACCATTAGACTGTCGTCATCCTAAATGGCATAATCTCCCCAGCTCGAGGCCACATCCGTTTCGGTCAAACTTGGATTGCTTCAATTACAGTGCAGTTTCAGGGCAGGTGGTGACGTTGGCATCCATTCTACCATGCTGTGAAGTCCCCACGGATGGATGCACTGGGTAGGCCCCACCTTCATTCGCAACGCGACAGATCATGCCAAGCAAGGAACGGAGGAATACTTTCGGGATGGTCAACATGTCAATTGGCCGACTTCGAAATCCAAAATGCAATTGATTTCAGTTAACTGCATCGAGATGTCCTCAAGATTGAGGAGCCTGAGCACAGCGCCACAACGTGCAAATGGAAGCTTCGCGTTATTGCGGTTCATGTGCATACAGAGCCCGTACGATGGACGACGCATCTCAACGCAGGAATGGTTGAAAGCAACGCTTCCCTAAAACGACAAGAATTGTACTAAACATTTCCGTTGCATCTGCGCCAAAGGCGAACACAGTAGCAGGTACGTCATAATTAAATAAATTATAAAGTTATCATTTAGACTTGAAGCGGCGTCGGTTGCTTTGACAGAACCACTGACCGTACCTCGGGGTCGTTTTAACGTTGCGGATATACGGCACCTAGTATTTCCTCCGCGATATCCAAGGGCATAGCCGTGAGAAACACCCCCAAAATGCTTTCACCAAACACCCGTAGCGTCACACAGAGTATCTGCGTCGCTAATTCACCTTTTATTTGCAATCCCGTTTGCGGTAATACCGAACCAAGCTGTCCTTAACCTTTAAAGAACATAAGTCATGCAAGCTCAGCAGAGCCGGAGAGTGTCGACACTGGCTGAGGCTGCGGCGGACGACTGTTGCCCTTTGAGGATCGGAGCTGGAAGCGATAGTGCCCGCAGCAGCCAAGGGCACGTGGCCGCTGTCAGCCAAGGCCGCTAATTACGAATCCCGCCGAGCCGGGGGCCGTTTGAACGTCCGATGGCCTTCTGAGCAATGGCGGGTCTGCTCGGTGAGAACTCTGCGTTGGGAGGTGGCCTCGCGAGTGGTGGCCTCGCTGAGTAGAGTTGGAAAACAAGAACACACGAGGCGGTTCGTTCCGTGGGAATAATGGCTAGGTTCTGGTTCACTGTCGGAAGTGTTCATGTAATTTAAAGGTATGAATCCAGCCCCCTTAAAGCATTCACACCAGCGTCAATAAAGGCGGCTTCTTTGTACCTGGTCGAGAGTAACCCTACTCATAACGGCTCAAAGCGAAGCTCCATCAGGGGGGCGGTCCATCACGTCTCTAGGGAGCCGACGAGGGCAGAACACCTCTAACAACAAGCCTCCGGGGAGAACAGCACAGCGCTCATGGCATCACCGAGACGCGTTTGTGCAGGCCTCGGCGGCCTTCCGTGCCAGGCTCGGGCGCCCTCAGAACAGAGACTCGGGCGTGCCAGGCTGGGGCGTCCCCAGTGCAGAGACTCGGGCGTGCCAGGCTCGGGTGCCCCCAGTGCAGAGACTCGGCCGTGCCAGGCTCGGGCGTCCTCAGTGCAGAGACTTGGGCGTGCCAGGCTCGGGCGTCCTCAGAACAGAGACTCGGGCGTGCCAGGCTCGGGCGCTCCCAGTGCAGAGACTCGGCCGTGCCAGGCTCGGGCGTCCTCAGTGCAGAGACTCGGCCGTGCCAGGCTCGGGCGTCCTCAGTGCAGAGACTCGGCCGTACCAGGCTCTGGCGTCCTCAGTGCAGAGACTCGGCCGTGCCAGGGCTCGGGCGTCCTCAGTGCAGAGAACTCCGGCCGTGCCAGGCTCGTGCGCCCCCAGTGCAGAGACTCGGCCGTGCCAGGCTCGGGCGTCCTCAGTGCAGAGACTCGGCCGTGCCAGGCTCGGGCGTCCTCAGTGCAGAGACTCGGCCGTACCAGGCTCGGGCGCCCCCAGTGCAGAGACTCGGCCGTGCCAGGCTCGGGCACCCTCAGTGCAGAGACTCGGCCGTGCCAGACTCGGGCGCCCCAGTGCACAGACTCGGCCGGGCCGCCACGGACGGCCAACCGCGCCAGCCACCGACGTTCGGAAGCCGACCGGTTTGCCGGCCGCCCCTCGGTCGCCGCGTGCCGCCCCGCTCACCTGAGGTCGCTCCTGTGCGCAGCTGGCGGCGAGCTGCGGCCGCCGCCCGTCTCCGCCGCTCCCGCCCTCCGCGCACCGCACACGTGGGCGCAGCGCGCGCGCGCGCGTGCTCCCACTCACGCCGGGACGCTCAGCGCTCTGCCCCGTCCCACCCGGCTGGCGGCGCCGACTCGAGTGATCGGACCGGTGGCGGACGACGCCGGCCCGGCGCGCGTGGGCCTTGAGCCCCCCCCCCCCCGCCCCGGCCCACCGGTACCCCGCTAGAAGGCGCTGCATCAGACGGGGCTAACCCACCGGCTGCCAACAAAAACACGCGCGCGCCGGCGACCGAGTGATGACGGAGCGGAGGCCTGCTGGCCCTGCCATCTGACCGTAAGGTGGACCGAGTGATGACGGAACGGCGGCCTGCTAGCCCTTCCGTAAGGTGGACCGTAAGGTGGACCGAGTGGTGACGGAACGGCGGCCTGCTGGCTCTGCCATCTGACCGTAAGGTGGACCGCGGCGTGGCGCGCCGATCGAGGGCTCGCAGTTCCGCCATTTTTGACCCGGCGAGTGTAAGGCATGTCTCACAAGTCGGAAAATTTGGGTAGCGTAAAATTCGGTTGGGTTCAGCAGGACACGGTCATAATGTCCCGATGACGTCCTGAGTTCGGCACCTGATAACATAAAACGATGGTGGGTGAAGAAATTTGTCCATCATTTGGTTCTTTACCGATGACGAAGTTGTCGGTGAAAGGTCAGGGCTTGAGGAGGTTGCTTGCTAGTGCTTGCTATTGTCTGCTAATGTCTACCGGTGATGTAGCCAGGAGAGAGTTTTGGGGGCACTCCTCCACTCCCTGGAAGCGGCAGAGCCCCCTGCCGTGGAAGGCCCGGAACGTTTCGGTAGTTACGGACATCCGTAGGGGCTTTTCAAAACATAATAATGGGAGCCTGGGAATCAAAATAAAATCCAGAGCCAAAAGTAGCGATCAGATTTAAACAGACTCGCCTATAGCGACGAAAAGACTACTTTATTACCTGATTTGGCCTCCTCCTTTGTGAACCCTGGCTACGGCATAGGTAACTACTATATCTAGTGTCCGCCAGGCATACTTTGTACATATCAGCGCAATAAACATCTACCAGAGTATATCGTACATGTTGTTAAATAATCTGGTTGACATAGGTTCACGAACCAAACGCAACACGTCCTCTATTCCCTTTGGATCAATGCTCCATGCAATGAAACAATGTAGCATGCATTATCTATCGGCCATGATATTCAAATATTGAACCGCTGAATTGATCTGCATATTAAAACATAGTGAGCAGCCGATTTGTTTATCTACATAGCTTATCAGTGAACATCTGAACTGTCTATCTGCGACGTTGCATATCAGCTCCAGGCATCATTTATGGATAGGTGTGTTGAGACCAAATGATGCCAGTTTATCGTTTTCAACGAATGCACATTTAGTTGGGCTGCAGATGTTTCAAGCAAAAGTAGGAGAATAAATCGCTTTTTCAGCCATGTACACACGTGCTCTGTGCTACCTAAGGCACGAGTATTGCCGTATGGTACAGTCTCGACCCAGCACGTTCACGTTGTCAGTACAGTCGAATCCGACCGGTCAAGTTACCCGTAGCTGGGGGCTGTTCAAGAGTCCTCCCTGCCGCCCCGGGTGCTGACGGACAGCCTGGGACGGTGCAGAGAAACCTGAGGAGCGTTGACGCGCGCAAAACCCACACAGTATCGTCTCGGTGAGCGGTTCGCAGAAGCCGACAGAGCGGCGGCGATCGGCCCTTCGCGTTAGAGTTCACACCAGCTGAATAAAAACCTGACCAGCCAGATGCGATGATAAACCAGCTGGTGTCAGGCATTTGGGGACCGTTTTGGCGCATTTACGCTCCGCCATTATTTGGCGTGGGTCAGCAGCACGACACAAGTTTCAGTCAGTTCAGTTATTACATGGTTATTCACGAGATGATCGCCGGTCAAAATGTCAGTTATCTACCATGAGTTCAGCGAGTTTTCCATCAACAAGGTGGCTTTATTATTTTCTTAGAAATGGTCCCTCAAGTCATATATGACACGAGTATGAGGCTAACGTCAGATATAGTAAACGCAAGATTATGTTTTAAAAATCGTAGGTGTAGCAGATCATGATGCAGTGAGACCATCGCTCACATGCCCACACCAAACACCATATTAAAATGATGGAGCTAGCAAGTTCGTTGTCGGTAAGTTCAACGGATGGATTCGAGCCTTAAATGTCTCACAGGTCATAGGTCTTCAGTGCAGTCCAAATTTAAACTCCAAACCACTCTTCAGGAAAGCAACTGGTGCTGACCGAACGTGGTTCATTGGTCTTAAAAAGATAATGGAGGCATTTAACAGCAGTGTGCGTTGTCATTAGAGCCTAAAGTGACACAGCCACAGTATATATTTAACTTCGTTTCTGGTCGATCGGCTCTTTGGGATATCAATCAGAAATTATCGAACCATTAAAAGACGCCTACACCCCATGCATGAGCCATCGTGCATGCCCGTATGAACATCGCGTGATGGGAAACCTGTGACGTGCGATTATGAGGGGCTTAAACCCATACATCGCCAATGACCTGCAATAAGGAGTTCCTCAGCGTTCACTGGTCGTTCAGTTCAATCCATAGTCCTCCCACACAAGCGAGCGAAAATTCCCTGATAGCGTTCACCGGCGCCGATCACGGTCTTTCCAAACCTCGTGCACGACCGGAAGCAAAGCTGTATTGGTTCGTGTGGGACCCGCAGGCTCGGCGACACCGCCTGGAGGGAGGGGGGGGGGGGGGGGCTCTCCCGGCTTAGCTGACAGCTCTGGCGGTGGGAGGCGCCGCCAATCTGGGTCTAATTTTACACCAGGGTGGCAGGGCCGGCCGGATTATTACAATTCTGGGCCGCAATCTGTGCCATATTGAATTAATTTGCATGTCTATTAAAGTTGAAATCCAGTTTGAAGTGGTCACCATGCGGGCTCGAAATGGTTCGGCTTTTATCGATACACGTATGGAACGAACCGAATACACTCTGCAGAGGAATACGTTAGAATACATGCTATCATCAAGCCTAACAGCCGTTCATTCATCCTGCAGCAGCTACGGAATAAGGCCACTGACAATATGCTATATGCAGTAATTCTTGCTTTTGAAGTGGGACAGAAAGCCCACACAGAAACAAAGTGAGAACTGCACATTTGTAACACAGCTGTATGCTTATGTTACGGCAATTTTTTGCAAATTATTCCTCAGTGAACTATTGCAGGCAAAGCAGCAAAACATCACATTTGCTACACATGACAGGTTTTCTAATTATCTAAACTTTGAAATTGTCTGAGTTAAGTTCGAGCCCAGTCGCACCTGCAAACAAGTCCAGACTACTCCTTTCGATACTCGGACTCAAGCAAATTGACTCATTTCACGGATGAGTCGCACTTAGCTTCGGACTTTCCATAAAAATATAAAGCTCCTACCCGACTCAATCTCAGTGCACCGGGACTTTAGCTCGTTCTCACGATTCTGACGGCCTGCACTTGGACAAGCTTTGATTTCATCGTAGAATCCATCCTGAACAAACGGTCCATTAAGCGCATTACATGTAAATAAAAGAGCTTCACCTTGTCGTGAAAAGGTAGATATCGCTGTGCATACCTATTGTGCCGCGTGGATTGAGCGGGTCGTGCTTGTTTCGGCTTGGGTTGGCTTGATTTATTGAAATAATTAGTTTGGGTCTGCTCACGTACGATGGCGCATTGGTCACTACAGCGTCGCAAAGACTGCCCGCGCGTGGCTACATTTCCATAGCCATTCCAGTGCTCATTGAAACCGAGATCACGTACGGCTAGGGGTTAAATGAAGATTAGGCCTAATTGGAATGAGTGTAAGCCTACAATCTGTGACGATCATTTCTCTTAACATACAACACGTCAGACATAAACTGACCTTAATCATGTCTGCTGCCATATTGAAGTAATGGGGCTGGGACTCAAAAACGATGTTACCCTGATTTGACTGCGAGATGGTTTCGGGCTTTGACTCAGCCGTTGGAACAAAATTAACTCGAAAGTGGCCTCTTGCAGCGTGTCAATTGGTATAAACGTAAGCAAATAGATAAGTGGTGTCCCGTTCGTATCGTAAAGCGGGTTGTCCCAAGTAATTTCTATTTTCAAGTGACTTTTCCAAGTGATTCATATCTCAGGTGACATGGCTATTTCCGCGAAATTACAATTTCGAACCAGCTTGACGAACAACACAAAAATGGCGTATCTTGTAGAGGGCGTCAATAAATGGTTTGTATTCATACTTGCCTTAAAAGTGTTTTGACTGATCATCACACATCCAACATCTGAGTAGCACTTGGCCACTGATGACACGGTGTGGCACAATTATCAATAACATCGTCCATCAACCTTCAAACCGTCTTTTAGAGGTTTCCTGAAGACGGTGCTCTAGATGCCCGCTTGCGGCATGATCTTGGGCAGGCAGACCTCCCCCAGGCGGGTGATGGTGTTGTCCACCATCTTGGCTGTGGCACGGCCCATTCACGGGCGATCGCGGCCTCCAGCTTCTTTGACGTGTGAGGTTTGCTGGCACGCACCCGATCAATGAGGTAGGCACACTTAAAGAAATAAAATGGACTGAGGTCTGGTGAGCTGGGACCCACGGGATGTCCTTCTTGTGGCTGATGCGGCGGCTGGGACAGTGAGATTGCATCGAGGCGGGTGAGTCCGGAGCGGTGTGTGTAAGCATGCAGCAGAACAGTCACACGATCAGTTCGCAGTCAGTCATGCGGGGAACAGCCAGTCCAGGACAGTGGCCGCCGCCGGCGGGCGGGAGCAGAGCTTAGACGAAGAATATCCGAAAGAAGTTCCTCCATTATGTGACTTGTTTTCACAGGAGAAACCCCAGTTTTATGGCTTTTGTCACATTGTCTTTGGCAGCTCGTATTTTAGCCTTCCGAATTGGTTTCTGCCTAAAATACTGCGACAAAACCGTACTTTATAGCAACTGTATGTGACAGGTGACGTCAGGCAGCAGGCTAGACCGTACCAAGCACTGGGGCACACTGTAAGCGCTTCGCGGCTTTCGACACAAAGTTTTGCCGTCAAACCGGAACTTGACGATCGGACGGTGGAGTCAATGCC